TTTCCCTTGATATATATTTAAATACATACTGTACATCAAAAAAAAAGGAAGCGCAAGATTTTTTTTTTTTGATTCAGTCTTCGCTTCGAAGATCTTCGCTTCAGAAGAAAAAAAACCGATATTCGAAACTTCTTTTTTAATGAAATTTATGATTTAATAATATTTAAAACGTTCGTTGAAAAAAAAATTAGATTCGAAAAAAATTTTTTGTAAATACCCTTTTTTATTAAAAAAAAAATATATATTCTTGGTCGTACAAAACTTTTATAAAGAAAAAAAAATGGAACCCTCAGTTACTTATTCCACCTCTCAATCTGTTGACTATCTCGGTCAAATTCGTAAATGGTCTAATACGGATATTATCTCCTCTTATAAACAAATTTGCAAACAACTTGACATCTGTCAAGAAAAATTACGTGAAGAACTCGAACAAAAAGGACGAAAGAAACTCAGAAAAAGTTCTTCCCATTTCAACCAACTCTCTCAGGAAACTTCCCAGGCTGCCCAGCAAGCACAACAATCTCAACGTGACGATGTTGCTACGATAGGAAATTTTGGAAACATACTTGAACAACAGAAAGAAGAACCTACTTTACGCGCAGAAGAGAAGCATTTAATTCGTATGAAGAACGTTTTATGGAGATGTATGCGTCCATCAGTTGGTTGTGTTGGCAAAGGAAACAAACTTGCCTCCCCAAAGACGTAAGTTTTAAGAAAGAAGGAAATAAAAAAAATTTTTTTTTCTTCTCGCTATATTATTGGTATAAATACAGTATTTTTTAAGGGGAGGTGGTACGACATTATAAGGTTCATTTTATTTGTGTGCGGCAACGCCCCAAAAATTTAAGGGGTGAGAAACACCTCTTACTAGTTAGGGTTCAAAGAATTTTTTTTTTATTTTAATAAATTAATCCTCTCTTTTTAATTTTTAATTTTCTTTTACTGTACTCATAGTTCTTCTCAGTATCTGAGGAAAGATATATTATATTCTGAACAACAAGAGACTCATTCATTATCAAACGTGCCACGATATAATCGTTCTATTAAAAATCGTAGAATTCGACGAAAAATACGACGTGAAAGTACAATCAATCCGTATACAAGTTATTTTATGCAATTACCAAGACAAAACATAAGCAACAATCCATTTGCCAATCAAATATTTAATGGAATTAATTTCTGTTAAGGTCGATATTTAAGTAATTTAACTCCCTTCCGCATTCAATTTTAACAATCAAGTTATTGACAAGTATTTTATTTTTTCTTTTTTCCTCCTCTAGAAAAATCTCAATAATTACTAAATAAATCTCCAAAAAAAAAAAAAAATTCATGAAAACTAGATTTGGTTCTTGAATTTTCGGGACACCAACATTACGCCACAGCTATGCATATGATGAACCAATTAAAATAATAATATATATATATATATTGAAAAAAGTTTATTAACATACCATTACATTCAACATATTATCAATATAAAATCGGAGTTTACGAAAACCTTTTCTTTGTGAATCTGCGAATTTAGCCTCATTGATTAAATATTTGGTCGTTATTTCTACGTGCCAAAATTTATTTACAAATCTGAAATAAAGAATTTTCTTCTCTCCCTCATATTTATTGTTGTTTTTGTTATTCTGGGTTTATTTTTATTACTTTATATCATAATACTTACCCATTTTTTTTACAATTAAATGTCTCAACTTATTTACAGAAAAAAGTGTTTTTTACAGAAAAAAGTGAGACATAAAAAGAAAATTCCAGATCTGCATTATTTTTTGAATGTAATTTCCAATTTAAGCGCACTATGGATAAACAAAAAATGTCGGCACAATAATATGTTGTGCAAAATATCAAAATGTTGAATTGTTGTTTAATAATTATTATTATAACCTTAAAAATATCATTGATGAAATTTTGAATCGATTATCGATTTCCAGAATAAATAAAAATTTTGTTTGTAGTAATTTTGACATCATTCAAAAGGATCGATTTTGAAACTCTTAGAACTTCAATTAAAAATAACATTGACTCCATAATGCAAATTACGGCCAAATCAGATGCATCCCTAAATTTGCATGCCTTTAAATACAACTTTGACAACATTTATTGAAACGAAGCATTAAAGATAGGCAAAAAAATTAATTTTTAAGAACTTTATATATCAGATAGTATATGAAAAAAAACAAACGTTACGTTTGTTTACAAAAGGCTTTACTTAAATAATCTAAATAAATTTTTTTCTGGGGCGCTTTTCTTTATTCTTTAAAATTGGCACATTTTTGTATACCGAAGCAAATAAAAAGGCACGGAAAGAATTTTTGTTTTTTCCGATATATTCTGTGTAACTGGTCACATGTAAGGTTTGAATTACGATGTACTACTCAACCGGTTTTCCAACTGCCCCAAAAAATTATTAACAAGTTTTTGGTCTTTTTTATATATTAAGTTATATATATATATATATTATTCCCATTTATGTTTAAAGTATTTTTTGTACACGCAACATATATCGTCCATACCCCAAAGTTTCTGATAAGAGTTGTACAGTATGAATCTTTTTTTTTTATTTATTTTTATAAATACAAATATATATATTGATATTTTTTTTTAAAAAAAAAGAAAAGAAAAGAAAAGAATTTTTTTTTTTTACCGTGCCTCTAGTTATTTTATCCGAATCACCTTCTAATTTGGTACAGGATCTTCACCTTTATTTAAGTTATCATGATGAGATCCGTTATAAATTCGGATATCCGAATATAAACAGATTGTATATGTTATTATAATTTTGTTTGAAGAAATTTTATAAAATATTACTTTGCGCCTAATTCAATAGATGTGATTCGAATATTTGCGTACAAGAATTTTTCACAATATATATTTTAATATATTTTATTTTCATACTTCCGGTATATCTCCATATTTTAAACTCCGATGAATAAACCATGGATCAACATTTTTTTTATCTATAAATGTATTTTTTACGCAATGATGACGTTAACCCTGAATTTTTCTCTTTGTTATAGTTTCTCTTTTCGGTTTTAAATGTTTGTGATTTCATGTTCATTTTGTTAATTCTAAATAAAATACAAATTAATTGGTTATGCTTTTTTTTTAGTGACTCATAATATATTTTTTTTTTGTAGATTTTGTTGTAAAGTTTGTATGGTAAAAATTAAGATGTATCTGTATATATAAAATTTTGAAAAATACATGGGTACATATCACGTGACTTACAAAGCATCAATTTTGACTTTTTTTCGTTACCTTTTTTGGAAATTCGTGTTTGAAGTTTGAACACCCGTGTACAAATAGAAATCGCCTGAATTTTTTTTTACATATTAAGTACTACAGTATAAATACTATATAATATATTATATTTTTAAATAATTTCGATATACCGATATTCGATATACCGATATACTATTAAAAACTTGATATACCGATAAATTTTATTTTCCCACTATATGTGGGACATATAAATATCGGTATAACTTTGATATAACGATATTTCCTAAAAATTTCATATATGTCCCGACATATCGTTATATAAAGGTTTGACTGTATTTTTATAATTAACTACCGTTAATAAGTTGAGAAATAATGATTTTTTTTTTAATACAAGCCACAAATTCAAAGTTCTGCAGTCTTCTATAGTTCTATTACCATAAAATGCAAAAAACATTGTGCATTTTTTTTATGGATTGCGATAATCGTACCATCTTTTACTTAAAAATGTTTGCAATCAATACACGAATATCAACAGCGATTTCAAGATTTTACGTAAAATTTAAATAATTGTTCATATAAAAATTTATTAGGAAAAAAATAATAATCTATTCTAATGGTAAAACAACTAATTATTAACGAATCCAATGGTTTATTTAATCACAATCTGTCATTCTCACTTTCTTTGCTTTCTCCTGGAATACAATTAAGTTCTGAAATCACTTGGGTGATATTCGGTCTATTACCTGGTTCGTGATCTCGGATAAGCATCTGCAATTGTCCTTAAATAAGCATATACAGCACCTGAATATTTCATAGCCCTTCCAAGTGTTTTGAAATATTCAAGATGCCCCTTTCGGCGGGTGACACATCCAAGAAAACTGTTCGTCTATCATCATTCTCACTCTCACTGGTCAACATTCTATTTATCGCCGTTTTCAAGATGGTGTAGGCAGTTTATTTGTAGGACCTTGAACTTTAGGAGTCCTATTATCTAGGGGAGTGCATTTTGAAAACGGCGATAAATAAATTAAAAATAGTTATTGTTCAGTCGATTAGGAATATGCGACCGATATTTTTATGAGACATCCAATATTGAAATCAGTATTATTAGCATTAATTCCTATTGGTCACCGCAGTATTCCTATAACTTAGTTATTGGATGGGGATATCGTTTTTTTCTGATCTTTTATAGCAATGCTAACACCTATAGTCTATAGTCTATAGTACTATAAGTAAATATCTTAGCTAGAAAAAAAAATTTATTATTTTTTTTTTTTTGAAAAATGTAATTAATTAATACAGTAACTACTTTTTGAATACTCGATTAAATAAATAAACAAACAAATAAATAATAAATTACAAATTATTAATATTTTATTTATTTTTGCATAACCGATCGATTTTAACAAATCAAGTAAATAAAGTTTATCAATTAGAAATGTTTATATGTGATGTTTTTATACTATATATATGTGATGAATAAGAAATCATTATTAAAATGGTACTATACTAAAATGTACAATCATTACAAGAAATGTGCAGAATTCACATGAAATTTCGCAAATTCCGTATGAATCCCGTTCATTTCCTGTATGTTCCCATTACTTTCATATTTAATTCCGTATCAACTTTCTTTTATTAGGGTAATGTTTATTTTTTTCGATTTTTTTTAGGAAAGTTAATAATAGAAAGGGGAAAATAAATTAAAACAAAAGTATTTTATAATAAAATTTTTTTTTTGCAAAAAAAAAAAAAAATCTTTGAGTAATGTAAGAAAGAAGTAATTTTTCGAACCTTAATATATATATAAAAAAAATATTACAAATAAACATAAATGAAAAATTATAATGTATATGCGTATATGCATACATAAAAATAGACGATCAATATTTATTTATTAACTTCGTGCATTTTCTTATCGGGCTGATTATTGAAAATGACATGCATATACATCATTTATTTATTTTTTTTTTTTTAAAAAAAAAAACAAAAGAGTTTCCAATAGCAATCGCCTTATCACGATACTTCTGATTGTACCTACTTTTTTTTTGTTTTCCTTTTTTGTTTCAAAGGAACAAAATAAAAAATTTTTGTATGATACTCTTCAACAATTGGTCAAAATTAATTTCTTGCAAATTACTATTCACATTTGGTTAAATTAATTTATCTGCATTCATTTACTTTTGGTTAAATTAATCTCTTTCTTGTATATACAATATTACTGTATGTATATGCACCGATAAACTCAAGTAAGAAAGAACCTATGCAAATTGGCTGAATCATTAAAAAAATTATATGATTGAAATCGTTTTAAATTGCATTAAAGACAAATGATTTTCTTTTCATTGTTTAAAACTTTTTTGAACTAAAATAATTTTGGTCGATGTACAATTGCGCATCATAGTTTTGACAGTATGGTAAATTCTTAGTTAAAAAAGCTAAATAAATTATATTACAATGATTAAATATAAATGAAAAAAAATATATATATATATATATATTTATTAACATTTTTTTAATTAATAATTCCTTATCCCTTATAAATTGTAAAAAAAAAAAAAAATAATAATCGTCTGACTAAAAAAAATGAATAAGTATGCATAAAAGAATTATGGACCAAAAGTGGAAATTTTTAAAAGATAGTGATTTTTTTTTATTAAACAATTTTTAAGGTTTACCAATCATCTTCCAAATGACGTGGAAAAAAAGTTTATTACAATATTTTTGTTTAAACCATATTTGAATTATCAAACGAATTAGGGGGCAACAAAATGAAAAGATCAACTAACATAAATAGTTATGTTATCTAAGCAAAAAAAAAATATGGTAATTAATTGTAGATACGAATACAGTATATTAATTTATATACATTGTATTAAAAAAAAAAATATGGCAATTAATTAAAATACGTATATATTATATTCATTATAATATTTATTTTCATTACATTTTTTTTATTAAAAAGAAAAAGTTTTTAATTTGGATTACAATCAACTTCATTGTTTTAAATATGGCGTAACCCGCAAAATGTCGAAAACACATTTAAATTCCTTCTTTTTCTCTGTTCTATCATAAATTTTTCTATCGAAATCAAAATAGATTCTTCTAGATAGCTGTTTAAAAAGTTCGAAGAAATAAAATCTCTATATATAATAACTTAAAAATACTCCTTTGACAACAAATAAAAAATTATATTTATTTTTTTTTAGAAGTATTTATATTCTACTTATTTAGAACATTTCTTCTGCTATTTCCGTTATAATAGCCCTCCACAAACCGAAGAACCGTATTAAGGATTCTATATAACATTAATACTTTTATGATGGATCACAAGGTGACCAAAATTAATGAAATTAGTAACGATGATACAAATACATCCTACACAATCAGCAATCTTGAAGAGCCCACTTCTCAATCTTACGGGTCACTGTCACACTACCGCCGTAATATTCGCGAACGTAGAAATCGACGAGAATTAAGAAAATATCATGCATTATATTCGATTAGAAGGTTACCTGTGCAGGTTACGAACAATCCATTAATGAACCAATTTTTCAATGGATCAACTTTTTTCTAAAGATGATTATCATTATCAAGTACTGACTAGTATTTAGGGATTTTTCCTCCAGTTATAAACTGGCAGGCCAGTTACATCCAGGATGATAAAACAGTAATAATTAGTTTATAAATAAATGGGTCACCATCCTTCGGGTGATAGAACAATAAAGTAACTAATACATATTATTCCATTCCGATATTCCCTTTCGTTACCTTAATACTGTATATATTCTTTCAAAAATTTTCTAATTTATCGACTTTACACTTGTAATTTTTATTTCTACGCATTCGAGTAATGCTTGCGCAATATAATTGGTGATAACTGATAAGTTAAGAAAAATGGATGTGATATAATTAGTATTAACTATCCTTAATGACCTAATCTAACCTTAAATCCTGACGTCAAACACAGCTCTGCAGAATGATGCATTTTCAATACAAAAATGATCATCATTCATCATCAATACATCCAATGACAATTATTCTTTCCATCTAAAATTCTATATACATGTTTCGAATTTTCTTCTTTTCTTTATGTGGCTTTTTGGCAAAAAAATAAAATAAATAAATAAAGATCTTTCAATGTTTTTTTACTATCATTGATGCAGTCCATAACCTTTTATTTATATAAATTAAATAACTCGCAATAAGAGTTCTAATTAATGTAAATTATATTAATATAGGAGATGAAACAAGTTATTTCATTATACTAATATTTTCGTCTTAAATTGATTGAAAGCGCGCCAAAAAAAAAAAAAATTATTTAGGAAATTGATGAAAGACAGACATAATACTTACTTTTATATACATATTTTTTTCCATAGAAATAAATTTCTTGAATAATTATAATTATGCGTTTGCCTATTATTTATTTTTTTTATGTTAAGTCCCTATAATCAATCTCCTTGCCTCTTGAAATTTTTTTTAAGTAAAAGGTTAGGATGAAGTTAGTTTCGAGTTCTTTCCTTTTTATTTTTAATTTGAAGTTCTTTCTCTTGAGAGAATGCCTTATGAAACCTGTTGAATCCAGTTGTCGATCCGCACTTATCCGCCGCACTTACAGTATGCATCCCACCGATCTTATTATAAAATAAGTTTGGGGTAAATATTTATTTATGGTCTATCATTTATTTATTTATTCTGGAAATCGATAAAATTCATCGATGATCTTTAAAAATGGTCAAAAAAGGAAAAAAAGATGAAAGTTACGCCACTATCTTTTCTGGGGTAGGGCGTGACACATGTGAAAATTTTAGCCCTTTCCTAAAATATACTCACAATCAAAAGTTCTCGCGCATTTAAAAATTAAAAAAGTGATGGTTTTGCAAATTATAGTTTCATTGAAATTAAAAAAGTGATGGCTTGCAAAATTATAGTTTCATTAAAATTAAAAGAGTGATGGCTTGCAAAATTATAGTTTTATTAAAATTAAAAAAGTAATGGTTTTGCAAATTATAGTTTCATTAAAATTAAAAGAGTGATGGCTTGCAAAATTATAGTTTCATTATAAAAAAAAAAGATTTAATAGATTTAATGAAATTTGTTTTCACAAATAATAAATTAAAAAAGAGAATAACAAAAGCCTACATGCATGAAATGTTATCACTATATATATCGCTCACACTAACCTATAATGAGTTTATACAATTTTAATATATACCAAAATCAGTTAAATTATGTCAATGAATATTGACCAATGAAAATTCAATAAATTTTAAAAATATACATCATTAATTAACCTTAATAGGTATATACATACTAATATAAAAAATTTATTTCGTTCATATGATTCATGTATGTTTTATGTACGTCAAAAAAAAAAAAGATCAGCTGTACAGTTTTCTCTTGTGGAGAAATAATGTCAAACTTGGGTGAATGAGTATTTGAAAGAAATTTTTATAAGCGAATGAATTGAAGAACTAAAGGTAAAGAAAAAAATTTGTGAGGAAAGAAATTGATTTACAAGTGAATAAATGAACTGACGGGACATTTTAGGGTAGGAGTAATATTACGACTATTACGTGATAATAGTAAAAATATTTGTCACGCAATTGTCACACCCCTCTACTTTTCATTTTTATTGTTTCCGGGGGGGCTTAGAATTAGTGAACCCCTATTTGTCATCACCCTTATTTGTCACGTGCGTAATTTCAAAACTACTCCGCTTTGGATGATCACCATTTTTAGTAATGTAATGGTTTCGATTTTCTTTGTATGTAGGCAAAGAAAATGACTCATCCTTAAAGAATTGCCAATCTTTTAACCACCATATAAGTAATATACAGGCGAGCACAACTTGTGCTAATTTAAACAATTCATTTCTAGAATATGATATTTATAGGTTAATTAGGCGTAGGATAAATGCAAATAAAATTTTAAATTCGAGGCACAGAAAAACTTAAATTATTCCTTAAAAAAATTTATTTTTTAAGAATTCTTTTGCATAATCAAGTATTTAAAGTTCAAGTGTCAGGTGATTGCAATTTTTACGCCGCCGCAGTAAATATTATTTGTATTAATAAAATGCAAGCCTATATACAAAGAATTTTTGTCAACCAATTTAGTTTCATTGATTGGAATTTAATGAAAATTAAGATGTAAATAAACAAAGATACGGATAAATTTTTATCATGGAAATTTTAACAGGAAGAATTCCAGCTTTTTTATGCACAATTAACTTGTTCTTTCTTTTCTAAATGTGGGGTGATGATGATGTGATGTTACTAAAGTATCATTGTATTATGTTGTACTTACTTTGCGGAAATATAACTCCAAAGTTTATTATAATGATTACTAATACTACTAATGCATTTAAATGTCCCGTTTTACCGATGATGTTGTAATTGCATGTTGCATGATGTACATGTCAAACATTGGGTTCTTTCATCATACAAGCAATTGATTCAAATTTGGGTTCTTTCATTCGCTTTTTCTTTGTGGAGTAAACAAGTTTTTAATATTATGACTTATGCCGTTTCATTTTTATTTAATGCATAAATGAAATAGAGAATTTTTTTCGTCCGAGCACTTTATAAATTGAGTTAGATTATCATCGTAAATTGATTGATTATGAATTCAATTGAAATTCATTTTTGGCGATGTTTTTTTTTCTCAGAGAAATATTACATTCGAAAATGTTTTATCCTATTTTACTTCAATTGATTCAATTTTTTTTTTTTCGACTGAAACATGAAAGAATTAAAATTGAACCTTTTTGGGATCTAGTAAATTACTTTGAAAAAATGTTTTATATATTTATATATAATTTTTTATGTGTATATATAATTTTTAATTTTACGTAACGGTAATATTTATATATGTAATATATATAATTTTTAATTTACGTAAAGGTAATATTTTATTATATATTATTATATTAAATAATTAAGATTGAAAAATCAAGAAAGACAATGTTTTTTTTTTTATAATTAATCCTACTTTTTTCTCGTCGCAGATAAAAAAGTATTATAAATATTCAGTTTCTACTTTTATTTACTTTTAATGTTTCTTTTTTCTACTTTCTTATTAACTCTCTTAAAAAGGAAATTAAAAATAAACATAATGAATGTTTGGTGGTCGTACTACACATAAAATATTTTTTACGCCTTCAAATAAAGTTCAAGAAAAAAAATTATAATATAAAAAAAAAAAAAAAATTTTTTTTTTT